CAATGAACTTATGTTACAGAGGCACACTTCAACCACAGCCTCCTATACATTTTGTCATATCCAGTTGAGAAGAGGTAGGACAAAGAAAAGCTACCCATGAGAACAAAATCAGAGCTGGGAGAGCAGTAGGACCTCACCCAACCTACTCCATCTTGGAAACCTCAATCTTATGATGTATGGACTATTAATATTCCTTCTATTTTACAGATAAGGAAACTGAGATATAGAGATGTTAAGAATCTTACCCAAGAACACACACTAGTAAAAAAAAATATATATGTATCATAAACATACTATAAGGCATCCTGATTCTATATTTGAATTGTGACTCTAGCACATATGACCTGGGTAAATTTGCACATATTCTTCAACTCTTCTCAAATTGCTTATTTTGGTGTTGTGAAAGTCTCAAGTGATATAATAAATCATGTAGCAACTACATCTACCACAATTATGATTATAAATGGGCCTAAAAAATGTGACAATGATTTGCCTTGGGTCATTCATCCCACCAGGCCTCTTAATCTTTACATCTAAGACCATTTAACATACATAATTACAGGATCGACCTCAGTCCCAAGATTAATCTTGTTCTTCACCAGGAAGGATTTAAGAAGTTTTTAATAATTCAGCATCAAGTTCTAACAATTGGCTTTAATCCCTGTTCTAAAACTAAGACTCTACCTTATCCCTAGTTCTAACTTCTGCCTCATTCTCTTATACCCTTCCTAGTCCTAAAGACGTACTACATGCCATATGATTGACATATGTTATCACATTTAAACCTCACAACAGTATGAGGTAGGTATTACTACATAACCTATTTCACAGATGAAGAAACTGGATACAGAAAGGTTAAAATGCCCAAGGTCATTTAATAGTGCCAGAATCAGAAGACAAACCTAGGTCAGCTGGCTCCAAAGCTATTATTTTTCCTCTATAACAAGTAGTTTTCAAGCTGTGTTCCCAAGCTTCCATGGAGACTCAAGGGCTGCCAGAGGAGACTGAAGAGATAGAAGGGTTATGGCTCAACTCACTTTTACAGATATCTGTATTCTGCTGATTGCCACATACACTTTGGATGTCATGGAATTCTTTCTTGCATGCCTGTCTGCCTGGGCTACCTTCTCCTACAACTTAGAGATGAATCTTAACTTAGTCACGTACAACTCAAGACAGACTCTGCTTTAGTAGGTACTTTCCAGTTGCCCCAGCACAGTTTCCATTAAACTTCCACTCCTATGTCTGCATTAAAATAACAGAGAGTAGTTCTAGAAGTCTAGAAATGGCCACCATTACGTGTAAGTAATTATCAACTCTCCTACAGTACAGAAGTATAGATTAATATGGCTCATATAATCCAAAACAGTGAATCAATTGTCATGAGAATTTTAAGAATACACTTATACTTTAAAATTCATTATTCATAACTATGAAGTAGAGTATTTTAGAATAATCTGCAATATTTTAAGCCAAGTAAAGTCATACTTAAAAAAGACCGAAGCTGAAAAGCTACAAAGCTTTCTAAATTTTTTCCCTTGCTCAATTTTATGAACTCTACCCCATGATGTTAGTTCTGAGAGCTGACCATATATCAGGTATGTAATGATAATCGTGTATGAAGGCAAAGTACCCTTCTTAATGTAATATTAAAATTAGTATTTTTGATTCCTTTCTCTTGCCTATATACTCACATACCTTATAATGACAACACACAGAACTGTTTTTGAGGAGGGCTACAATAGAGCCCTCCTCACAGTTGAGAAAAATGACTGAGTTACAACCTGAAATATCAGCAGTGACCTTCACTCTGATGTGAAACCTCTTTATATGTCACCGGCAAAGTACAATAACTATCACTACCTTACAGTATTATGAATACTCAGTTCCTATTCTTTTTTTTTTTTTGCGATACGCGGGCCTCTCACTGTTGTGGCCTCTCCCATTGCGGAGCACAGGCTCCGGACGCGCAGGCCCAGCGGCCATGGCTCACGGGCCCAGCCGCTCCGCGGCATGTGGGATCTTCGCGGACCGGGGCACAAACCCGTGTCCCCTGCATTGGCAGGCGGACCCTCAACCACTGCGCCACCAGGGAATCCCTCATTTCCTATTCTTTTAAGCCGGATAACTAAATACCCTGGATATGCTGCTATGGTATTTCTCAAAGTATAGTTCATAGAGTACCTGCATAAGAATCTCCTGAGGCACTATTTGTAAAATGTAGCTACCTGGGCCCCACAAGCAATCTAAGGAATAAAAATTTCTGTAAGATCGGAAAATTTGCATTTCTGACAAGCTCACCCAGGCACTGATTTGAAAACCAATTGTATAAATCCATTTAATATGTCCTTACTATTTAAGAATGAGATTTGTTAAAACAAAGACCCTTTCTCTATTTTGCTGATATTTAAAATTGCACACATGTAGTGCTTTTTGGTATGTGTCTGAAAAAGTTTAGGAGACAATAATATTGATCATAACACCACACTCAAAAGCAATACCTCAAAGTAAATTTTCACTTTTTAGAAAGAGCTTTAGGATAGTGTAGTTCTTAACCAATGGTAAATGATAAACTAATTAGTCTTCACTCAATTTAGCAGTCCACACAGTTTATTCAGCAATAGAACAGAAGAGAACTTCCATCATGACAGACATAAGGCAGATACAGGGCAGATCTCTGGGGTACATTCTTTAAGCAGACTAACAAGTGACTTTTTAACATGTGGCAGGCATGATTTGTTGCATACAAACAGCCATTTATTCCTTACTTCTTCCTTCCTAAAAGAGCCCTGATTTTATTAGGGGAGACAATGTGTCCTACCCAGGCAGTGCAACTCCATTCCCCTCTGCCAGGTTTCCCAGGCTCCTTTGTGAATCAAGGATGTAAGAAAAAATCTGTGAGGGACTTTTGAGAAAGATCTTCTTCCCAAATAAAAGACACAGACTTGAAAGGAGAAAGCTTTTTGCTCCTTACTTCCAGCCTTTGATTGGGACTGAAATGTCTGGAGCAGCAACAAGCTACATTGTACTCGGTGAGAACTATGAAGACAAAAAGCCAATATGCTAAAGATCCCAGAGGGGAAAGATAGCAAGAACCTGGGGCCTTGAGAACATTGTTGAGTTGCTACACAAGCACTGGATTATCTAGAATCTTAAGTGGAATTTTTAAATTGTTCAGTGGCCTCTGAGATGTTTTCTAAGTTTCTTAACCTGAACTCTAGTTTCATGATTCTTATGAACAAGTGAAGGCCAGAATGAGGCCAATGTCAGGTAAGACCTTCTTAGTTCTAAGAAAAATGCTTCCCCTAAACTGTTCATAATATATATGCAGTCAAGCTGGGTAACTCCTTTCTTCACCTATCTCCTAGGACAGGTACTTTTCCATTGCCAGGGGAGGACATTCTAAGTTCAGTCACCACAAAGACAGGATAGTCCTTGCTTATGTAGAGCCAAGGAGGTGTAGACAGAGGCATTTCTGCATGTTTTTATTGTCACCTATATAGGTGCTGCCTGACTGAATGTGATTCCTCTGACAGTGACCAGTTATGGATAACGTCATAGCCACACTGAGGATGAGCTAAATAGAGCCAATGATGAATAAATGGTTATATATGAATAAATTTTATATATATATATAATTATCACTGATTAATATTTAAGAGGTGGAATTTAGAACAATATAGTTTATTATTAAAATGTCTAGTTGTTTTACTGGAATAATCTAGAATTCAGCTACAAGGATGCTTTCCCAGAAAAGTTTTCACTAGAATATAATGAAAGTACACACAGTATGGGGCTTCTCCTCCAGGACTACCATGTCATAATAACGTCAATAATTAGGCTGTGGAGATTTTTAGGAGTAAGCTAATTCCAAAACATAGGAAATATGGATTAGTCAGGTTCTAGATGAACAATCTGGCTTGGAATACTGATTAAATTCATGCTGAAGAAGAGATGCACAGACCCTGGAAGCAGATCCAACAACAATTTAAGCAGTTTCCCAGAGTAGTGACAGTCTGGATCAGATATAGAAAGGAGTCATTTTTCCATCTTCCTTGGGCTACTAGTACAAAACCCTCTAGAGTCTCCATGATTTTGACTGTTTCAGAAGTTATTTGCTTTGGCCAAGTTTTTTGTTCAAGGTTTTATCTGTTCTGGTCAGGATTAACTGTAATGCAGGGTTAAAACCAGCAACTCTAGAGTCATGTATCCTTTTCCTAACCAGTGGAGGACCCAGAAGAAATGGGTGGCAAGCTTTTTCAAAGGTCCACCTGGTAAGATTTTGGGGAGCCCACTCAAGTGGGAAAGACCAAGGAAGAACAAGGCTTCTATTAGCAGGATTATCAGGATAACACTCAGGGCAATAATCAGCTCTGTTAATACGGTCTAAGAATACTTGGTAACATTCATTCTCAACCAGTTCAGTTTGGTACAACCAATGGCCTAGTTCTAAACTAGGGAACCATTGCTGTCCACAGTCAGGGCAATGTGAATTATCTGAGAACATTGGGACCTAGAGAGACAACACAGAAAGCAATGTAACTGTAAGAGGCAACAATGATAAAGAGAGACACCCAAACAACCAGTCCTATTACAGGTTTGGTTTAGCACTTTCTCAGTCCAACCACCATTACTTGGAGAGGGTAAAATGTGGCTTGCACCTCCGTGCAGTTCTTCAAGATTTCGTTGTCTATTTTTCACTCACTTGCAACCCAGTCTCTGAACTCAGGGACTGATCCAGTCTATGTTATCAGTCACTTACTAACAGCACAGATCTCAGAATAGCTCCTTTAAATCCCAGCTTCTCAAGAAAAGATAGGGTTCTAGTCTAAGTTAATTATTTTTTCTTGTGTGTTATCAGCTGGTGGTATCATGCAGAGGCATCTGGCTTACTCTGCTTTGCTGGTAAGTTATTATGTCTGCTTGGTGAAACAGAGGAGCTGACAGGTCCAATGGGTCTTTGGTGGGCGCTGGCACTCTTGCCGTTGTAATACACGTACCCAAGTCTTAAGGCCTTGGCACTTTATAGCGATGTAGAGGGGTCAGGAAAACCTGGCAGAGTCCTCTTGAGCGTGGATCCAATGAAGTCTTTCTTGGGAGGACCTTAATCAGGACCCAGTCACAGGGAAGTAGCTGCTGTTGCGTTGGTTGAAGGGTCTGGGAATGCTTCACATACCTGTAAATAATAAAACTTCAGACGACTCATGTGGGCTTTGAGTTGCTCACAATATTATTAGAAACATGCATTTGGATGAGAATTGTCTCATGGGTTTCCCCATAACAACTTCATATGGGTTCAAACCAATTTATCTGTTGGGAGTTATTCTTATGCTTGATTGGGCAACAAGGAGGATTTTGGTTCATTTAAGGTTTGTATTAGCTTAATTTTATTTTAGGACTATATATTTCTTTTTCCTACTCCTTTGGAACTTTGGGAATAATAAGGTCTGTATAATCATGGTTAATGTGGTAAAACTTTGAGATTTCTTGTCTCTCTTCTGTGAAATGGGTGCCGTATATATAGTTCTCCCATAATGGGTGGGATAACATTAACAATGGTGACAGCCTTCTAAAACAGACTTCAATCCATGCAGGGAAAAGCTTACAAAATTATTAGATAATATTCTTAATAACTAACCATAGGAAGTTGGATGAAATCCTTTTGAAGGCTGAAAAAGAAAACACAAGGGACACGTCTCATTGTCCACATCTGCCTTTATAGGCTCATATGCATTTTAAGTTTAAGAAGGCAATTAAGGCACGGTACTGAGCTATTCTTGGAAAATATATAGTAAATCAGTTGGAATTTACAGATGCTTTCATCATCTTTGTACTCCTTCATGACACTGAATGTAACAAGTAAACAAGGTAGGGTAGAGCAGGATGCATGGAACAACTAGACAGGCACCTAGGAAGTGCCACAGATCACCAGAGCACAATATATAGTCTGCCTTTCTCCAGTGTTCTTTTGTGAATTCTGAGGCCTGATCCTGTGAGAGCACTAAGGGACACTGGGGAAGATGTGAGTGTTAAAACTGTATAAAGATATAGCCTGGGGCTTCCCTGGTGGTGCAGTGGTTGAGAGTCCGCCTGCCGATGCAGGGGACACGGGTTTGTGCCCCGGTCCGCGAAGATCCCACATGCCGCGGAGCGGCTGGGCCCGTGAGCCATGGCCGCTGAGCCTGCGCTCCACAACAGGAGAGGTCACAACGATGAGAGGCCCATGTACCGCGGAAAAAAAAAAAAAAAAAGATATAGCCTGAAAAGCAGAGGGAGTTATAACCCTTAGCTGTGATCAGCCAAAGCATTTTCCTTACAGACTATCAATAGCAGCTGTGATTCTCAGATTTTAAAACGGCAACTTTAAAAGACAACTGAAGAGCAGCCTCTGCCAGTGCTGCAACCTGGGGTCAATAGTCTGATGGGAGCCCCGGATGGGGTGGGATAGAATCAGTGTAGATACACTGATGTGTTTTTTGAGGTTAGGTGACAGTATGCATGAAGATTACCAACTCAGCTCCTCAGGAAGAGTGAACAGAAAGCAGGGTTCCTGACCTTTGTGGTGACAACATAGAGTATAACAGATTTCCCTGAGGGTCTACTGTCAAGAGCCACTACAGTAAAAGTTTCAGTTGTTGAACTGGGAAATCTTGGATGTCTAGTACATGAAACAAATAGATGATGAATAAAACCCACATGATTGTGGGGTTTATCACAGAAGTTAGTAGTAAAGTTATATGACTAAGTCTGACATTGAAAAGGTATAGAATTTTGGGTTTTTAGAAAGAAAAGGGGAAATTCAATTAAAACCACAAGAAGATACTGTATTTCACATACACCAGACTGGCAAAAATTAACAAGTTTGACAATGTGGGCTCTATATACTCTAGGCAAGACTACCCTCCCCTCAAACTCCACATCTCTGTTGGCTAAAGCTCCATTCCCTAAGCTCCAAATGCTCAGAATGAAGGATGGCCTTCCCCCAACCTTCATTTCTCCATCTTCAAGAGTTAAGCAAGACTAGAGCTCCAAGTATTCCTGAATCAAGAGCAATCTAGTGTTCCATATGTTCCCGACAAGACCACCCCTCCCCTCATCCTCCAAACCACAATGGGCAAGAGGGGAGTCAAAACAGGGCTCCAAAGCACTAAATGCTCAGAATAAGATCACCTATTACCAGCCTCCTAACTCATTCCTTCCTGAAAATACTCCTGGCAAGATTCTCGAACTACCGCACCCCCCCAGCCTCACAAGCTTCACTACCATTATCTGCTTGAAAGCCTGAGGACCAACCAATCTCATCACACCTGTACCTCTTTTTATGTCAATCACCACATGGAGCCCAGAGCTTCCTGGTTATACTTCATCCTCTTATAGTCTCTAATCCCCATATGGCTCTGACAACAGTAAGATAATACCCCCTTCTCTTCTTTACTTTTTTTCCCATAAAACATGTACCATTTTGATATTAAATATTTTAGCTATTTGTCTCTACTAAAACCTAAACTCCAAGAGTAGGGTGTTTTGTTTTTATTTACTGCTGTACATACCCAATAAACATTTCTTGAATGAATAAATAATGAGACTATAGAGTAATTTGAATCCTTATACCCTAACACTAGGAGCATAAATTAGGATAACCACTTTTGGAATTAATTTGGCATTATCAAGTAAAGCTGAGGATGTGCATTTCCTGTAACTCAGTAATTACCTGAGAGTAGTCTCAGGTAACTACCCTAGAGAAAATTACACGTTTATTTAAAAACATGAATAAAAATATTCAAGGTAGTTCTTTGTATAACAGCAAAATAACAACCAAAATGCCCAAGACAGTAGAATGGATTAAAAAAATTGAGATAGTCCCACACAGACATAGATGAAACTCAAGAATATTGAGCTGAAATATAAAGAGCAAGTAGCAGAAGAATACACACATACTCACTCTCTTATATAGTTTCCATTTACATAAAGTTTCAATATATTGCTTAGGAATAAATGCAATAAAGCTAAAAAGAAAAGGATAAGTACAAGGATAACTATTACCTTTGATGGGATAGGGAAGGGAATGGGATTGAGAAAGGCATACAGAGTATTTCAAAGATAACTGTAAACATTTTTTCTTTGAATGGCTGGAGGTACAAGAATGCATCATAAATCATAATAGTTTACATAATCTCTATTCAGTATTTTATTTTTTTCTACTTCTGTCTTCATTTTTACTTTTTTTAACTTTTAATTTTTATTGGAGTACAGGTGATTTACGATGTTGTGTTAGTTTCAGGTGTACAGCAAAGTGGATCAGTTATACATCTACATATATCCACTCTTTTTTAGATTCATTTCCTAAATAGATCATTACAGAGTACTGAATAGAGTTAGTTCCCTGTGCTGTACAGTAGGTTCTTATTAGTTATCTATTTTATATATAGTAGTGTGTATACGTTAATCCCAATCTCTATTCAATATTTTATAATTAAAAAAAGAAAAGAGTGGAAAATAGCAGTGGGCTAGAAAAAGAAATTAATAGGCAAAACCAACTTTCACCCTGTGGACAAGAAGACCAGGAGCAGTTACTCTGCTCAGAGGCAAAGTGGGTGACTGAGGAAAACAGAAGTCCTACAGAAAGACATGGATCTTTGTTTTTCTCATAATATTGGAAGCAACTATCTCTTCATGGAAATAAAGTAACAGAAAATATATTGTAAATCAACTATACTTCAATTTAAAAAAATCTCTATGGAAAGAAAAAAGAAATAAGGTAAAAGAGGCCTACCTAATGTTAATTAATGGAATTAATTTTTCCATTAGGCTACCTAATGGAAAAGAACTTCACTTGGCCAGATATTCAACAGAAAAACTCCATCTCTGAAATAATACTTTTTTTTTTTTTTTTGGCCACGCATGGAGCATATGGGGATCTTAGTTCCCAACCAAGGATTGAACCTGCGCCCCCTACAGTGGAATTGCAGTCTTAACCACTGGACCACCAGGGAAGTCCCCAAGATAATAATAATAATAATAGCTAATACTTATTGAGCGTCACTATCTGTTCTAATACATGTAATACATTTTACATCTATTAACTCATGTAATTCTTACAATAATCCACTCTATAGTTAAAGAAACAGAGAGGCTGAGCAACTTGCCCAGAGCCACACAGGTCTTTGTAGAGAAATCAGTATTTGAATTCAAGAAGATTGGTTCCAGAGCCTGTACTCTTAACCACTATAAGACACTGCCTTTCTGAAGCAGTGACTGTTGAGTTTTAGAAAACCCTTTCATAAGCTATTTGCAAAGCTACAGGATACTCTTCAATTGTGTGTATTATATTAAAGTGGGGGTGGGAGAAACTCTCTCCCATAATTTTCCACTTTCACACAAAAAAATCCAGGATACATTTCAGGGAGTCCTAAATCCCCTGAAATTACATATAAAATTTTTTATGTACACATGTGCATATTTTTCTGGAAAGAGAGTACAGCTGATCCTTGAACAACGTGGGGGTTAGGGGTACCAACCTTCAAGTAATCAAAAATCTGCATGTAACTTACAGTCAGCCCTTCGTATATGCAGTTCCTCTGTAGCCATCGTTCTGCATCCTCGGATTCAATCAACCACAGACCGTGTAGTACTGAAATATTTATTGTTGAAAAAAATCTGCATGTAAGTGGACCCACACAATTCAAACTGTGTTGTTCAAAGGTCAACTGTACACACTTTTAGATTCCCAAAGGAATGGTTCAGAACCATTGGGCATGAATGCTTCCTAATCATTGTACCATCAAAGGCAATTTTTATTCCTGGCACCCCCCTCCCCAGATCTCAATACGGAAGGATCCCTGAACAACTACCATTCTTGTAATAACTTCGTTTTCTCATTTTATTAATTAGACATGTAGGTCTGCCAATCAGAACTTCTAATAAAAACAAGAAAAAAACTAGTGTTAATAGCCCTGATTTAGAAATTTTCAATATTTTAAATTACAGATAATATTCAAAATGCCTATAACATAAAGTCAGAGAGATTTCGGCTACTCTGGATTTGTTTCCTTCCTCAACTCCATTAGCTTAAGTCAAAAGTGGTTGATCTGGAAAAAAAAAAA